CCTCAATCTGGAGGCTAAAAAATATCACTACACTTAAAAAAAAAAAAAAAAGAACCAAGTTCTTTAGGTAGTATGTTAAAGAGTAACTCCTTTTTACTAGAGCTGCTGCCTTTAATGATACTCTCTGGGTATGTAAGATGCTTAAAGCAGATTATTATTTTTTTAACATGCATTGTGTTTGAACTATATACTGTTTCTTTCTTTATTAATATTTTGAAGTTTTTTTAGCATATAAGGAAGGACTTGAAAATTGGAAAGAGGTGTTCTTAGAACAGAAAAAACACCTAATTCATTGCCTTCTGTTTCAGTGGCTATGACGTGAAATCACTGATTTTACTAAGTGAATACAAATTAGGAAATATTTTTATGTGAAAAACAAAAGTGAAATGTAAATTTTGCTTCACCTATTCATAATTCTGTGAGTGAAATATTGTTGTGTGTTTCAGACTTCCAGCTTCCATGGTTCTTAATTATTATCTTCGGACTATTTGGGCTAATGGTCATGCTATCTGTATTTGTATTTTCTAAACAACAAAGGTAGGTATGAAATAGTCTTCTTTGTATGTTTTTGCCAGTTGTCTAGATTTCCATGTGTGTTTCCATTTGTTATTTGATATTTTCTTTTGTAAGTTATGAGTGGAAATTTTAATTAACCCAGTAAACTTTTATCTCCAGTTATCATTTACGATTTATATAAAATTCAATTTGTTGTGTTCATCACAGAGAACTTACATGTTTAGATTCTGTCTGGGAAGTTGTACAGGACATTAAGAGGCTTAGGCTAGTGACTGAGCACACCTTGTGATATGCACCTGTTTATACAAGTCCTCAAGAAGTGGACACATTCATTCCAGGACCCCAAGTTTTTACTGAGCCTTTGGCTGAGTCAAGTTCTGTGGGTTTGAGCCCCAGCTGTGCCAAGTATTAGTGCATGAATTGAACATGTTTCTTAATTCTCCAAATCTTTGCATAGATAATATCATCTGCCTCCCTGGTAGTTACAAGGATTAAATGAAATATTTAGTGTAGGTGTCAACAAACTTGTTTTATAAGAAGTAAGT